TGGCAAAGGACAAGAATTACCAGCCATCCTAACATCCATGTCTGTCTTACTTTCTCAGAAGTTTCCCCAGTTATCACCAGATACGTAAGAAGCCAGTTCTCTGCAGTTGCAGGGGCTTTCACGGCGGCTAGCTGGATAGTTGCTTGTTGATCCAATTTATTAGCTGTCCTCAGGTAATGTCAGGCACCTGCTGAGTCGTCGCCATCATTGTTGGTCGATTCTCCAACAACAGGTCCTACTCTCCAGGAGAGAGCCCATATTCCCCCTTTTTTGTTTATTAAGATATATTTTAATAGTTTGATGAGATTATTCAATAATGGCCTGACTAGTTAAGTTATAGGGGATGCCAGTTTTGTGTTGCATGTGCCAAAGTTTCAATGCATATGTAAATTGAGCACTAAGATAGTAAGGTCCATTATTAGTTTTTATAGTTTGTAGAAGGCCTAAAATTATAACATTTAAACAAATGAGCAATTGTGTCTTTAGTTTTTTCTCCAGTTCAGTTGGTGGGGGAGGGGGGTAGCATGTATTAAGCTTGTATCAGTGTCCACAGTAACATGGAGAAATTTGAAACATTTAAAAGGTGGATACTGAGTAACATTAGTTTGCTAGACAGCATTAGGCACGAGACCTCATGGGTTAGCACCAAACCCAAAGGAAAAAGGAGAGAGAGAATGCCATTGGCAATTAGGACAAATTTTAATAATAATGTGAACTTGACCAAGTGTTACATGAAACTGTTGTTTAAGACCGTGGGCATTCGGATGAAAAAAGCATGATCAGCTTGAGCTCACCAAAATGCAGGAAAGTCTGCAAACCACATTTGTGGTTGTGCCAAGCACCAGCTCGAGCCTTCCCTTCTGATAAGGGACCAGATAACCTAGAATGAGAGCAAATACATGTGATATAAAGATGGTGAGGATGGGCACAGAGGAGCTATTGCACTGCAAGAAACAAAACTAATAGAGATTCATTAGTAATGCCCGTCACATGTGCAAAATCTAAATGAGTAATAAAATACTATACGCCACATAAGCAGAATCACTAACTATATTTATGTCTTGGTGAGAAAAAAGTTTGTAAGGCCAATGTTAGGGCACCTACCTCTGTCTGTTGCGTAGTTTTAAAATGTTCCTGGATTTTATGTTGCCAATTTTGCATGGCATCTTGCCACACTACAGCTGTCTTTTCAGTTTTTCCTGAACCATTTGTAAAGACAGTGGTGGCATAAAATAAAGGCTCAGAGACAACAATAGATACAAATTTAACAGGCACAGTTTGTAAAAAGTTCAGGAGCTTAGAGGCTGGTAAACGGAAGAGATATTACCAATAAAGTCAGCCATTTCTACTTGCCAATCAAGATCACAAGCTAAGAGAGTATGAAATTGTTCCTTGCTTAATGGCAGGAAAAGAGTAGCAGGCTCGTATCTTGACAATTGGACACAACGTCAGCGCCCCTTTATGAGAAGAGAAGCTATTAAATCTGTAATCTTTTGTATATGTTTAGAGGGGTTATGAGACAGGTAAATAGCACGTAAAATACAGAAATGGCAGAAGATGAAGCCTATCTGCTAAACTAAGGTATGGAAGGTTTTAGGGACAAGCTCCCTCAGAAAACGCCCTCTGTGCAAGCTGACCCCTTCCCCCCACTCTGATTGTTCTGCAGCTGCATTCCTAAATCCCTACCCAGGTGTCACATCAAGGCGGCCAGATATGTTACAATTAAGCAAAGACTGATTACAGCCATCCAAGCTGCTGGAGGGAGGACAGGGAAAACAAATGTTGGTTATCCACACTTGTAAATTCCTGTTTGACACATATCTGTAAAAAATCCTGGTTTCTCTTAAAAAAAAAAAAAAAACTGCCACCACAAAAGTCACAGGATGATGTATTGTAGGTCTGCTACAAGTTGACAAACTATCTCTGTGCCTGTTGTCAGTGGATAGATTATCTCAGTCCTGAAACTCCCTTATGCCCCTCTCACCCCATATAAACCCCCTGTTTTGTAAGCTTGGGGCTGCGTCCTCTGTTACGGAGCAGGCTGGCAGGTTAATAAAACTTGCTTGCCTGACTTTGAGCCTATCCTCCTTTCTCTCGGCCAACTTTACAGAAGGGATAGATACTGTAAGTGACTCCTACCATATTTTCTGGCCTTAGAAACTTATTAGAACGTAACTGCAAGTCTCCAGGATAATAAACCTGCACTGAGTTAACTTAAGTGTGTAAAAAAAAAAAAAAAGAAAGAAAAGAAACCATTTTACAATGTCCTTAGGTGCTGGCCATTTTCCTGCATTAGCCTTTAGCTGGAATGTCTTAGAAGTGAGCTTGGGAAAGTAGGGCTGTGGCCAATTTCTTCCCATATGCTTTGGGCTCCTTAGGTAGCATCTCTTTTTAATAGCCTACACCTGTTGTGGCTCTTGCCCCGAGAGGAAGGAAGACTACACGTGGTAGCAAGAGGTCAGAGAATGGCCAGGTGGTAAAGTGTGTGTGTAGGCGCAGAGGCAGAAGGCAGGAGGGTTACAGGCTGGAAGAAGACCACTCCCCTCATCCTCCAGACCACCCAGGCTTGGACCCAACCCTTTTTAGGTAAGGTACTGAAAATATACTGGGGTTTTGTTATTTTTACTACCCCCAAGCAGAGAGGCTCAGAGGAGGAGCAGACAATGCAGCACGGGGTCTGTTTCAAAGTTTCCCAGCCACAGTGTTTTTAAACATTTTATAAAAAGGCAAAACAAACATTCCTTATTGCTGCATCTATCTTCTGAAGATGACAGCAGCTGGCAGAACTCATCTACCTCAGCCTAGCTGGCATTTAACATATGACTACAGAAGAGCTCCCCTTATTAGCGGGCTTCTCCCCCAGAGCTCTGCACTCCAGGCGGCTCCACACTCCTCAGCCCACCTTAGGCTGATAAGGTCCAGGGTGCCCATGGACTGTTTCTTAGCCCTTTCCGTAGGGAAAACAAGGAATTGCTTGTCAACTGGGACATGCCAGGGGTGGCAGGGAAGGGCAGAAGTAGGCAAAGCAGCAGCACAGCAAGCAGCACGCCACTTTCTGGGCACAGTTACTAAGGCGCGTGACCATGGTGAGGAGGAGCCTCAGGGCCGAGCTGGAGCTGCTGTAGCCACCTGGGGACTCGGTCTGTGCCTCTTGGCCTCCTCTCTGTCACTGTAAACCCAGGAAGGGGCAACTTGCCTAGACTGTCGGTGACTAAATGGGTACTCCAGAGCATCTTACCAACTCTCCTGCCCCAGGCCTCTGTGGGCAGCAAGAAAGCCAAAGCTATCTGGGATAAAACCCAGGAGGCAGCATGCGACTTTCCCTTATACTCCAGGAAAACAGAAAAAAGACAAGGCCAGAAAGGCCGATGGTGGAAGTAGAAAGTGAGAACTTGCATGTTAGGAAGACATCATAATCAGCCACTTTCCTTCCCTCCTGGAGGTGCCTCTCCAGCAGGGAAGTTTGTCAAGGAGACATGGCCACCTGATCATATATATGTTAGCTGACTGGGGGTCTTATCCAAGAACCCCCCAAGGTTGTCCCTTGGGCAGCCTTCAGTCTCCTCAAGGGGGATGGGAGACATTGCTGCCTGAACAGGGCCAACAGATGCAGGTCCCTTTAAGGGTGCAGGAAAAGAGGGCAATAAGTTCTCTGTAGGGGGAGAAAAAGGCTCTGGTCCATCTTATCCTCACTAGAAAAAATCTCTTCCTTACTGCCCATAGAAGGAAATGAGGGTGAGAGAGGAGTTTCTCCCTGTTCTGGTTCCTGCTTTTCCTTCTCCTTTAAATCTACTGAATCCCCTTCAGGTGGAGAAGATGGGTGGTCTGACTCACCGCAATCTAGTAGATAAAGAGGCTACAACACAGCGTACCAGTGCCCAGGTGGTCAAAATAGTAATGTTAATAAAATGACTTTGCTTATATCCTCTTTTCAGGCAGTGACCTACCTGCTCCCTTAACTCTAAATCTAAGGTTCCTTGATCAGGAAACCAAGGACATTCCTGCCAAGTTAAGAGCACAAGCTTGTGCAGAGCTCCAGGCTCTGCAGTGCACTGAATAGCCTTAAGTAGCTGTTGCACTGTTTAAAAAAATACTTTCTGCTCTTTGGTCATTTCTTGACCCGTGATAACCTAGCCCCTGATATTTTATGCATGCATCCTGTCCTCCTGATGGGAGTCAGAACTGTCCCTTACCAGGATTGCCTGAAAATTTATGAGCTCTCCTACTTGATGTGTTAGTTCAAGGTGACCGCACCAGTTGCAGAGCTTATAACTTGCAATGAACACCAAGAATGAAGTACTCAGACAGTTCTAGCTGAGCAGGGCTAGGGAGTAGCTCTTAGAGAGTCCACCCCAGCATCCATCCACCAAGTATTTATTGAAAGGGCTTGTATTAACTACAGACATGCTCTAGATGGTCATTTGAGGTGGGTTGCTGAGGCACCTGTGGCCTTGTACACACTCAAACTGCATTCTCAGGAGGCTGTTTTCCGTGTTCATTATCACACCATACTCCACTCCCTGTCCTGTTTTCAGGGTCTAGGAGTTTCATTCTCAAGCACAAATAACATACAGTGTTCCAGTCATGCACAAATAACACACAGTGCTCTGGTATCTTTCCATATCCCAACCTCAAATGCATGTACATAAGATTGAATATGTTGTGGTGCACCCCCCACATTGTGGACAAAGAACTGTAATACACTGTTGGTGGGAATGTAAATTAGCACAGCCTCTATGGAAAACAGCATGAAGATTTCTCAAAACACTTAAAATAGAACCACCATCTATCCAGCAATTCCACTACTGGGTATTATCCAAAGCAAAATAAACTGCATATCAAAGGGATACATGCAGTCCAATGTTTATTGCAGCACTATTCACTGTAGCCAAGATATGGAATCAGCCCAAATGTCCATCAGTGAATGAGTAGATAAAGAAAATGTAGTATATATACACAATGGAATACTATTTGACTGTAAAGAATAAAATCATATCATTTATAGCAACATGGATGGAACTGGAGGTGATTATGTTAAGTGAAATCAGCCAGGCACAGAAAGACATATATTGCATATTCTCATATTTGGGAGCTAAAAAGTTGATCATGTGGAACTAGACAGCAGAATGATAGACATCAGAGACTGACAGGATATGTGGGTAGGAGGAGGAATGAAGAGAGGTTGGTTAATGGGTATGAACATATAGTTAGATAGAAGAAATAAGTTCTGATGTTCAATAGCAGAGTAGGGTGGCTATAGTTAACAACAATGTATTGTATATTTCAAAACAGCCAAAATAGAGGACTTGAAATGTACCCAACACTTAAAAGTGACACTTTAGTGATCGATACTCTAAATAGCCTGACTTGATCATCACACCTTCTATACATACATGTATAGAAGGTGTGATGATCAAGTCAGGCTATTTAGAGTAACAGAGTAAACGTATTTATGGGGTACTTGTGAAATTCTGTTACTCTAAATAGCCTGACTTGATCATCACACCTTCTATACATGTATGTATGTATAGAATGTGTGATGATCAAGTCAGGCTATTTAGAGTAACAGAATTTCACAAGTACCCCATAAATACGTACAAACATAATGTATCAAAAAAAAATTTAATTGAGAAAATACAGAGTACGGTTATGTACAGTGTACAATATACTGCTAAGTTTGGTCTCTTTATATAATCAGAAAGATCAGAAGAGAAGGCACCACAACTTTAACAGCACTTATCTATATGTGATGAATTATAGATTATATTATACCTTTCTGTAGCTTATAAATTATTCAGTGCTTCTCTTGTTTTATTGTATAATCACTAAGAAAGAATACGCATTTTTCACAAAACAAACTCAGAGGCACCTAAGATACACTGAAAAGTATACAGACTCTCCAAATTATGATGGTTTGACTTATAATTTTTCAACTTTACGATGGTGTAAAAGTAATATGTATTCAGCAGGACATTACTAAATTACATGAGATGTTTAACATTTTATTATGAAATAGATTTTGTGGGCTGGGTGCAGTGGCTCACACATATAAGCCTAGCACTCTGGCAGTCCGATACAGGTGGATCACCTGAAGTCAGGATTTCGAGACCAGCCTGGCCAACATGGTGAAACCCTTTCTCTACTAAAAATACAAAAATTAGCTGGGCGTGGTGACACATGCCTGTAATCCCAGCTACTGGGCAGGCTGAGGCAGGAGAATCACTTGAACCCAGGAGGCAGAGATTGCAGTGAGCTGAGATCGTGCCAATGCACTCCAGCTTAGATGACAAGAGTGAAACTCCATCTCAAAAACAACAAAAACAATGAACAAACAAAAAATAAAATAGGCTTTATGTTGGATGATTTTGTCCAACTATTGGCTAATATAAGTGTTCTGAGCACATTTAACGTAGGCTAGGTTAAGCTATGATGTTTGGTAGATTCAGTGTATTAAGTGCATTTTCAAATGATTGATAATACTAAATTTACAATGGGGTTATTGAGATGTAACCCCATCCTACATCAAGGAGCATCTGTGTTTGAGGAGTCAGAAAGCATGGACGTAAGCCAGTTAGCTCAGTGGTCCACAGTACATTTCTCTTCTGGGCCTGATGTTCTTATCTAGAAAATAGTCACGGTAATTATACAGTTGTTATGTAAATTAAATTAAGGAAATAAGCCTTGCATATACTATACATTCAATTATAGGTCGTTTCCCTATAACAAAATTTAACTAAAATTTTGTTGTATTTATTTGTCTTTTTTATTTTCATATAATATAGGTAATAGTTTGCAAAGACTTCTGTACTCCTGAATGTAATACTGCATTTTCAAACATAAGGGAAACATTTATTGGAATGGTATAAAACCTTGATTTTGTAGTATTCTTTGTATTGTCTTGGTTTTAATAGCTTGACTTCAAGCCAATAAAATACTCATTCATGCAGAAATTATTGTTTCTTACATGGAAAGAAGCATTGGAGAATGAAATAATAAATAAGATATATTTGCTGTCATAAAGGATACTTCACTCATATTACCAACAAATGCACAAATGTCTTAGGTTCCATAGGGACAATAATACAATTTTAGAGTCCAGAAATTGCTTACATTTACACAAAGATTTTTCATCTCAATTTAAAAGGACAATGACCAAATTTATGCAAAGGCTTTCTGTGAACTCTGGAGCTAAGAAAGAAAGTGAAAGGTTTGGTTTTGCAATCGGGCTTCCTTCTATTTGCCATAGTTTATTAATTAAAAATGAATAAAGTCAATTTAGCAAATATTTATTGAGTACCCATTATCAGCAACAAACTGTGTTGGGAAGAGTAGAAATATGAAGAACAATGGACTTTTTATCTTCAAGGAGATTCAAGTTTTAGGAAGTTAAACTATAAAAAGCTTAATCATTTAAAAATATTTATTTACTATTTTAAAACAGCTAAATAACTTGCATACCATGTCAAAAGGATCTCAGGGGAAGGAGAGGTAGTTCAAGCTGGGACAATTTTGGAAAATTGGAACTTCAAATGGGTCAATGAATAGAATTAGACCAGACAGAGAATTGCAAGAGTATGATGTACTGGTTGGGTAAAATATTGTGAGAAAAGTGCAAAGGTAGACTACATAGAAGGCATGTTTAGGGAACAGCAAGTAAAGTATCTACAAAAGTCATTTTAAGGATTCTCAGGAGACAAGAACATCTTGAAAAATTTGGGACCAAGTTTTAAAGGTCTCAGAAGTCTGAGTAATTATGGCTTTTTCCTATCACTGTTGTAGCATTACTGCAGATTTTTTTTTTAAAGGTGACTTGAAGTAGTGTGTTAGGATATTAATCTGGAAGGAAGTATGTAAAATTCAAGACGGTCATTTAGAAGGTCTTGTAGTCACATTGTTATCAGGAAATAAAGGCTGGAATAAGTGTTGCAATTTTGATCAAACAGTCCACAGAATTATCAATGTAGAGATGAAGAGGCAATTGCTGGTCACGGTGGCTCATATCTGTAATCCCAGCACTTTGGGGGCTGAGGCAGGTGGATTGCCTAAGCTCAAGAGTTGGAGAACAGCCTAGACAACATGGCGAAACCCTGTCTCTACTAAAAATACATAAAGTTAGCTGGGCGTGGTGGCGCAAGCCTGTAGTCTCTGCTACTGAGACTGAGGCGTGAGAATCGCTTAAACCTGGTAGGCAGAGGTTGCAGTGAGTTAACATTGGGCCACTGCACTCCAGCCCAGGTGACAAAGGGAGATTCTGTCGCCGAAAAGAGAAAAAAAAAAGATGAAGGAACAATGTTACTAAGGTACTAAAAAAGAAGCCTGGGTAACATAGTGAGAAATAAAATAAAATAAAATTACCGGGGCTTGATGATGCTCCCTGTAGTCCTGGCTGCCCAGGAGGACAAGGTGGGAAGATTACTTTAGCCCAGGAAGTCAAGACTGCAGTGAGCTGTGGTTTCGTCCCGGTACTCCAGCCTGGGCAACAGAGCGAGACCCTGTCTAAGAAAGAAAAAGAAAAAAATAGAGTTACAGCAGTTCTTCTGAGATACTTATGTGTGCATTTTCTCTAATAAATGCAATAGCATCTCCATCCAGGTAGGGAGAAATTGGAGCATACTTCTTCGTATGGTTTTCTTAAAGGGTAGCAGTAAAATGAAATGAAATCTCTTACACTACTTTCTCTTATCATTTGTATTTTGTATTATGAAAATGTTCCAGTTTGTAATACTTGAGAAAGAATCCATGAGCTATTGACCTAAACTAAACTGTAGAGTCAGCTTTTGGACAGAAAATGTTGCTCTCTTCTCTGAGTTAAACATTCTCAGAAGTTCTTGGTCTTTAAAACATCTTTAGAAAAATTGATAAAACTGGAATCTTTCAGCGGTAATTTTCAAATGTCATAGTCTCTACTAGTAAAAAGGAATTTTTTTTCATGATTTATTGATATCTCTCAGGTCTAGAATCATTATCTAGGATTTATCTCTATGAAATACGCAGTAGCATAATTTATTGCATAATTAATGTTTTCCATCAATCTTGCCTTTCAATTTGGAAGTCTCCAACAGGACATATTTTAATGATAAACAGTAAGACATGCCAGCCTTTCTATCAGTTATGTTATATGTACTGAATATTAAGGTGTTGTTCATTGTTTACTCAATGATCATATTTCGTTATAGTTACTATCATTTAGTTCAACTCAGTGCCAGACTGCCCACTGAATGCTGTATACAAATCAACCACTGAATGTAGCTGGATGTATTTTAGGCTTTCAAATGAAAGTATTGTCTCAACCCACTTCAATTTATTTTGATTTTCCACTAATCTATGAAGTCCTATCTGGAAACATCATGATATAATGTAAAGAGCATTGAGTATGGCGTGGTGTAGTGATATATTCATAATTATGTGGATTTATGTACATTATTTAAATGTCATTGTGTACGTATGAGGCAGGCACAGTGCAAGGCTCTGAGAATGGTACACAAAGAAGATAGAACTTCGCTTGAAGATACGGAGAGCTTAATGAGAGTGGAGAGTGGAGGTATGGCAAGCAAGGTCTCAGAAAGCTATTGAAATTAAATTAGGTAATGTGTATCGAGTACACAGACCAACAAGGGCAAGGTTGTAACTATTAGTTGTCTCTTTCCAAATGTTACCTATTTGGCTTCTTTATAGCAGACCCAATTTTATATAGTGATAATTTGGTAGAACTCCAAATTGCGTTGGTAAGTGGAGTTTTGCTGGACACGAAATCTTATTTAGGGCAAGGTTTGAGTCTGAACTATTCTATCTATGTATTCTCCTTAATATGCAGTTTGGGTTTCACTAAAGAGAAGCAATTTTTCAAATATCTAATAGAATTTCCTGCTTATTTGAATTTAACATATTAATCATCTGCCTTTCTTTTGAATGTAACTCAAGGGAATGTGGAACAGGCAACCTTGAAATGTATTAAATTATTAGCTGGCATAATTTTTGACAATGCCTGTACAACTATACAAGGTGTTCATAACACTCAAAGGATCTTAATTTTCTTGTAAGTAGGAAATAAACTGCTCATGTTTTTAGACCTAAGTGTTTTAAACTCTTTATGGTCTAAATTTCATCTCAAATACTCTAGATGAAAACCAAATGGGCCACTGGCAAATCAAGATGAAGGAATTTGAATGCCTGTGACAGCCTATGGTATTCTATTAGAAGATGAAGACTATTTTCTCTCAAGCAGTTTACAATAATTTAATATTATGAGGTATTCTTTGAATTCAAAAACCTGCCCCCAATAAGACACAATATTTGAATAGCAAACCTCACTACTTATTTATCTGGCACTTGAACTTAAAATGTGCCTGGGTCCCAAAGGAGCTAGACATCTGTTAATACAAAATATAGCCATGTCTATATTAATAAATATGAATGTTTATTAATATAAATATGAATATAATACTATAAATATAATAAACATGAATGTTCATTAATATAACCATGGCCATATATATATATATTTTTGAAACTTAAAGAAAAATTTATTGAAGAGCTGAAAATTTCTAAAAGATTGACTTTTTTAGAAAACTAGCTACACAGTATATTGCATCTCTCATGTTAAAATGTGCATTAGACACAAATACAAAAACCATGAAACAAGCCACCAGTCTTCAACAATTTGAGCAAAGATAAAATGAACCATGGATATATTTAATAATGCAATTTGTGGTAGACAGTCAAGTTTATTTAATCAGTGAAAGAAAAACATAGAATAAGTATTTGTGCATATACAAGTTTTATCTACCATATTTACTTACATATATCCCCTTTTAGAGCCAAGATTCTGCCTTTTAAATTATGATAATTGATAACAATCATACAATCCTCCCACCTCAGTCTCCTGAGTAGCTAGGACTATAGGCACAGGCCAACTGTGGCTGGCTAATAATTAAAAAAATTTTTTTTTGTAGATATGAGGTCTTGCTATGTTGCTCACACTGTCTCAAACGTCTGGGTTCAAGCAGTGTCCCTGCCTGGGCCTCTCAAAGTGTTGGGATTACAGGCATGAGCCGCTGCACCCAGCCCCAAGATCAACAACTTAAGGGTTGATCTTCTGAAATCTTTGTAACATCAGGTAAAAAGCAGATCGGAGTGGGATTGCCTGCACTTTTTGTGCTAAGAGTTTAGTTCCCCTCTCTAGAAGAGTATCACCAGGATTTACAATTTTTGTAAAACGTAAGCAGTGTATTTCCACAGAAACCAGTAACTTGTCAAGGGAAACATCTGATAGGTATTTTCTTAACAAAATGATCAAACTTAGCTTTTCCAACAGAATGAATAAAATATCCTTTTTTACCTTTGAATGCGATACATGAGAAGCTTAAAACATCACCCGTATAATATTCTGGAATTTTAAAAAGTGGCATCTACTCATCAGAAAACAATCCAAATTGTAAGACATATTGTGAAACAAGTAGTCCTTACTCTTCAAAATGTCATTGATGTAAAAAGACACAAAGAGCTGGTGAACTGATTAGATTAGAGGAAACTAAAAAAATATGACAACTCAATTCAATGTGTGACTTTGGATTAATTCTTAGATGAGAAAAAGAAAATAAAAAAGCTACAAGAAATGCATTATTGAAACAATTGGGAAAATTTGAACATGGACTTTATCTTAGATACTAGGTGTAAAAATAATCAATATTAAATTTCCTGAATGTGATTATCACATTGTGGTTAGGTAGGTATGTCAGAATACATTTTCCTTTTGGAGATACATGCTGAAGTATTTGGGGATGAAGTGTCGAAGTCTGCAGATAACTCTCAAATGAGAGAAAAAAAGATATATATATGTATATATATACTGAAAGATAAATGAGATGAAATGCTAAAACTGGCAAGTCTAGGTGAATAGCAAACAGGTAATCATGTATTATTCATCTGACACTTAAGAATGTGTAAGATTTCTCAAAACAAAAAATTTGCAAAATGCACATATAAACCAGAGAAAATTAGATTGAGTACACAACATAAAGTAGTGTGAATTTGGTTGTTATTAATTGTATCATGTTTAATTCTCATTTTAATAAGAAATATATATTTGAGACAGCTTCCCTCTGCCATCCAGTGTGGAGTGTAATGGCATGATCATGGCTCACTGCAGCCTTGATCTCCTGGGCTCAAGCAGTCCTCACATCTCAGCCTCCCAAGTTGCAGGAAATACAGGTGCACACCACCATGCCTGGCTATTTTTTTTTTTTTTTTTTTTTTTGGTAAAGATGAGGGGTCTCACTATGTTGCTGAGACTGGCCTGGAACTCTTGAGCTCAGGCAATCCTCCTGCCTGGGCCTCCCAAAGTGCTGGAATGACAGCCATGAGCTACCGTGCCTGGACAAGAGATACTTTTAAATGTCATATTTTCAAACTGGATGAAATCCATTGATAATATAACACAGTTACAGATATAATTCAAAGGGTCAATATAATGCCCTCACTGTAACATAAAAGAGAACAAAAGATTATATTGTTCAATGGGCTAATTCTTGGGCACAACTACACTTTTAGAATGCCACCACAAATTTCCAGAATTTCCCCTAGAGGGTGGTACTGTCCTTGTAGTGTACAACTGCATTAAGTGCTAGTGAAGCAGGGATATTACCCTGAGACATTACTGAGGCTACAACATGACCATGTGCATTTGCTGAATGAGTAAGAAGGCCCATGGAATATCAATCTGCATACATTAATTGCCCTGAGGGTTTTGAGTTTTTAGCTGTATTCTGAGGGATAATTAGGGGGTGAATGAGTTACAGATGAACTATGGAAAGGGGTACAGGGTGTCTTGGTTCCCATAGACTTTGTTTAAATTCTTTGGAGGAATGAAGTCCTGGGTAAGAGCTGAAAACTCTGTTTTTTCCTAGGGTTTCAGAAGGGAATGTAGACACCAATATGTTGTTTACTGATATGTTGACAACACAGCTGAATGCAATTTATTTTGTCTACATTGGTTTCTCAAAATTATACCATGGAGGAAATCTTTTCCCATGCCCTGGATGAAACTTGGCAGCTCATAGCTTTTCTGATTAACATTATTGTTACCTAATAGTGGATAACTCTAAGTTGCCCTGATTCAGTAATTGATTAATAAAACGTTTAGTCCAATATATTAGGAAATGCTTCATTCTAAGATAAATACTTCCGTTCCCTTCGGATTCTTCAGTTAGAACTTGCAGTGGGTGGTCCCCTACCCTCTCTGGAAGAGGGTGTGGTTGACTTTTTTCTTCATTTCCCCTCTTCTTTCCATTAGCTACTCGTATTTCTGACTGCTCCAGAGGGAGTTATAACTTGGAGTGGAAAAGCAGAAGATTGGTCAGAGAGTGTCACTGAATAGGTCTTAAGATAACTGTAGTCTCTCTGGGTCTAGCAGATATTGAAAGTGGACTGTGCTGTGGCTGTTTTCATGGCACTCTGGAGGTTCCCCACTGGTCCCACTGAAAGCTCTCTGCAGACTAGAGGTCAAGGAGGTAGAGTTGAGCTTTTGCTGTCTTCCTTTGGGGAATGGGTGGTTCTCACAACACTCAGTGGCTTTCTCCAAATAAATATTTTCACAAATCCTCTCTGACTTTCTGCTGCCTTGATTCTTTTATGTCCTTGATGTGTCTTTAGAATTATCCAACTTCCTTTCAAAGCATGCAACCCTTACTTTACTTTGGAGTTGTATCTATTTTATGATGGCCCCTAAGTGGAAACTCCCAATTTAACATTTCATTTTCCTTAGATTCCTGGGTAACGATGCAACAGTGCGGGAACCTAGAGATGGCGTAGTCAAATTTAAATTTGATTTTTGATTTTAGATTTTACGACTAGCTTTGTGATTGTGAACAAGTCACATAACCTATTTTAAAAATAAAAGTAGCATATCTTAATAGGGTTGACGTGGGCTATAAATAGGGTGTCCTGTAAATCATTTAAGCTAGAACATAGTAAGTTCTCGGTAACTTGTTGTTATTGCTGTTATCTTTCCCTTTTCTCTGAAGAACAATCTGACACCTTCAGAGCTGGCAGATTTAGGAGATAAGAAGAAATTTCCTTGGAATGGATATTAGTATTCTCATGGATGGCCCCCAAACTGTAGCAATGATGAAACACCCTCTGTGGCTTCGTAGGTATCAGACTTGAACCCAGGAACTGGAGTAATGGAGGTGACAGGGCCAACTATGAGTATCTAAGATATAACAAGGCAAGGCTTTGTGGGAGCAAAGTCCTGCGAGACCCTGCTGTGGGACGTTCCAGTGAAATCTGTGTTATCACTGATACAGTGAGCCCATCATCCCCACAGCCAGTGGTTCAAAGTGAAGAGAAGAGTGTATCAGATTTCCTAAGAGGCAGAATTGTGTTTTCTCTTCTTAAGGGGGAAACACTAAAATGGTTAGAATGCTTTCAGCTGCAAGCAGAAGACTACCTAAGAGTGACTTGTGAAATAAAGATTTTTAATTATCTAACATAACAAGCAGTGTAGGCAACTGTATGTGTTGGTACACTGACTGCACGAGGGTAAGGCCAGCCTCTCTGCAATTTTTTTTAGCCTTCCATCTTGGTCACAGAATAGTTTCTGCCTTTCCAGGCATCAGGTCTTCATCAAAAGCAGGAAGAAGAGGGACAAGTTGGTGTCAATCACGTATGTGCTTTTGTCAAGAAAGTTCAAGTTTTCTAGAACCACCTCCTACACTACTGAGACCTCTGTGTGTTTGCATCTTACTTATCAGGATCATGACACAAGGCCTTGACTACTAGCTGTAAGGAAGGTTGGGAAAGCCTCTCTGGGGTTGGGTGAGAGTGAAAGAGTTCAGAACAGGGGTGGTTTATCAACAGACAGAGTCTACCACAGATGCCATCATCTTCACTTGGGTGTGACCGTCATTCTGGATACTTCAGAAAACCAAAACCCCAGCAAATCTGGACAAGCTCCAGAAATTCTCCCACAACTTAGAGTAATATGGATACGAATGATGAAGAGAAAGTCAATATGGAATTACAGTTTAGAAATTCCAGAAGAAAAGACAGGTAGAAGGAGGAGAAGCAGCAGTCTGTTCAGTAGTGACACTGGCTCCTTGAACTGAGGATAGGCTATCAGATCAAAGGCGGTCACTGCAGATGAGGTAAAATTAATGAGTGTTAGCTCATAGTTGATACTGTTGAATTTCAAATTTTAAGAAGGAAAAAAGTCTAATATCGTCTAAAATCATCCAGCCTGAGGAAAATATATTATCAATACAAGAAGAAAAATCATGTAGGCATCAGATTTCTCCACAATATTAAAGGGTAGAAAATGGAAACAACAGCTACAGATTTCTGAGAGAAAATTATTGATTTAATAATTTCTAAACTGAAAGAAGACTTCACAAATAGTTTTCATACACGCACGGCTTTTAACTATTTCACTTATATATGTTCATGAAAAAATTACTCCCTCAATTTTTTAAGTTAAAAAGGAAATGCACCAAAAATAGGCAATGAAATACATAATAGAAAAGAAGTGGCAGGGCACGGTGACTCATGCCTGTAATCCCAGCACTTTGGGAGGCCAAGGCAGGTGGTCACCTGAGGTCAGGAGTTCGAGACCAGGCTGGCCAACATGATGAAACCCCGTCTCTGCTAAAATTACAGAAATTAGCTGGGCAGGGTGGTGTGCACCTGTAATCCCAGCTACTCAGGAGACTGAGGCAAAAGAATTGTTTGAACGCGGGAGGCAGGGGTTGCAGTGAGCTGAGATCATGCCATTGTACTCCAGCCTGGGTGTCAGAGCGAGACCCTGTCTCAAAAAATTATGTATATCATTAAGCAACAAAGTCACTAAAAGTTTATGTCTAAGTAACTGTTTTGGCTTTGAAACTTTTATGACTTAAATATTCTCTAACTAGAAAATATATGAAATAATGTAGATTAACATCTGAGATATTTAAAAGAAAAATTGTGAAGTCTGGAGTGGGAGGATGGAAAAGGGGAGGAAATAAATCAGCTAAATTTTTGATCTTTCACCAGTAAAAAGACAAATAATGGAATAAAATTATTTGTGGTATTAATAGACTCTTTCCTCTCCCCCAGCCCACGTAAGAAAATGTTATCTCGTTTGACAGACTTTCCTCTGCCTTATGTTACTGCCAAACTAGTTCCTGTGTTTGGTGACGTATAATTGGAAGATGTACAGGAAAGGATGCATCCTGAGATGCTGAGGTTATAGATTAGGAGAAATGAGGGAGCTAGAAAAAGTCAGATATTTCCCAGAATGGAATGGATCGATTTGAGGGCTTTTCTCCCTCTTTGGGTTTTGAGTTTGTGAATAAGAAGCCCTAGAGGGTGTGGGAGAAAACTGAATAGAAGAGGAAAGGACATTCAAGGTGTGTTCATGGGGGTTATGCATCAGAACCTCTTTACATCCTTTGAAAGATGAAGGTAGAAAATGCAACTCCTTAAGACTCCGTTGAGTCTTAAAACAGAGTTAGCCTTCTGATAAACTTTGCTTTATGATACTGTGCAGAGAATGAACCACAAAGATGACAGCTTCAGTAGGGTTACACCTGGGGGATTTGTCTAAAATTGTGGACCAAAAGCACAGCTTTCAGCTGAAATTCAGAATAAAACCATTGCTTTGTTACCAGAGTCAAGAGCACATTATTACCAGACTTTACAATAATAGTGGCAAGGAGAGAAACTCCAGCAGCAGCTGGGATAACACCAGTCATGCCCTGGTGGATGTGCTGAAATCTGAGTTGTAAATGATGTCTCATGGGGAATGGATGTGCCCGCTGCAGAACTAAACTCACATAGTGCTATGCAACTTCACTAAATCTAGAAAGTCGAAAGGAATCCTTTAAGATACAGTGCAATCAAAATTATGTTTTACTGCAGTGCCACAGATCCCCAGTTTCTCAAGCAGTTTGACCTCTGCAAATCCTCAGGGGAAGCCGAAGCCAGATCTAGATAACTCAGACCTTGGCTGGCCAGTCCCTGATGCCAGAACTGGATCCCATGAGGACATGGCAATGGCCACATAGACTTAATTTAGAATCACCAATAGTCTGTTTTCCAAAAATGGAAAGTGAAGTGTCAGAGACTGAAGAAAATCACTTTATATTATGATTAGAGAAAGTTCACAGATGAACAGGATTTAGCATCACAGGGATGTTTCCAGCCTAAAGTTTCTTAGGACCTAAAGAACTGAGCTTTATGTGCAGGGTGAATCAGAGAGAGGGACTGTTGAGCAGTGTTTGTTAAACTCAGTGTAGTGTACAGACAGGCCACATGAGTCATTGTTTCAGTAGGGTGGCAGACATTATTTTATTTGGGATGTTGGTAAGGAAGTGTATGTTCAATTATTTTTAAAATATTAAGTATAAGATAAAAATGCAAGTAGAGTCATTCTCACTAGCTCTGTTAGAAAATTCCTTTAGTAAACTTTGGTTTGGCT